CTATCCATATTCCTGTAGCATCACCATCTTTTCCTGGGGGAAATGGTATTCAGGCTCTGGTTTCAAATTCGGCTGTGCTGCCCAGCCACCATGAAGTATTACCGTGCACCGAGCACGCTTCAGAGTCCTCGGACTCTTCTCAGGCTCTGTCTCAATACCTGACTGACGAACCCAGTTTCCATGCCAGTATCCTTCCTAACACTAATGGACATGCTTCGGAACCTCCAGGTTCCCATGTTTCGCGTCAGGGTTCTCCGCCCCCAGCTACGACTGAGAGACGCTTAAGCGAGTCGTTGGACTCCTCAATGCTCTCGGCAGTGCCTGAGCAGCGCGTAAGCGAGCCAGTAGGCTCATCCTCACATACCGAACTTGTTGCTCAGCAAGGGAGCAATTCAGAGGGCAATGAGCTTTGGCATTCTAAGTGTTCCCGTAAAAAAACGTCCAGGTTTAAGGAATTCGTGTCATAAATTCTTCTTTCTTGTATGTTGGAATCTGTACCATACGTGTGCATTGTTGTGTATATGATGTGCATTTATTTATTGTATAAAGGTATAAGAGATGCACTGTTATGCTGTGATTTTTTAAATGCGAAGCATTTCTTAGCGAACTTTGAGCGTATCTGTCTATCTATCTAGCCGCCTACGACTTTTAGCTCTCCTGGACGTTCTCATAATGGTATCGATACCAAACTCGGTATGGCATAACATGACTGTATGAAGAACGTATTTGACTAGTCATAACACGAAAATGATTACATGTATGTCATGAATGTCATGATTTACATATTATGGTCCTGCAGCGCTTGCGGTGGTTTCATTCACATGGCATGTTGCAAAAGTGGTATGGTATGACATTATTGCCTGCCGAACACAAGTGACAGACCCTAGCATGAAAATCATGACATGCGTGTCATGTAACAACATGACTACGTTCCACTGTCATGATGCGCTCGCGGCCGTTTCGCTAGCGTCACATATACCGAATTTGGTGTTACGTGACGTCAATGGATTACAAAATATATGAGTGGTGCAAACATGATAATCCTGACACGCGTGTCATGTAGGAACATGACACATACCATGCTAATAGCCTGCTCGCGTGCCGTTTTGCTAGCTCTACATATACTGAATTTGGTATCACATGACTTGAATAGATGACCAAGGTAAACGACACATCCAAACATGATAATCATGACACGGAAGTCATGTATGGCATCATTTACCTCCACCTCGTAACGTTGTGCCAATTTTAAAAAGATATATCAACATTTCTCATTCGTGCTTCGCATATCATCGATATCCGTTGCACATGGGATCTGCCAATTTTTTTGTTGTATGTTGTCTGTATAAGTGCTTTCAGCCATGGTGCGCTGTGTACACAGCTATGTCTTTTTTTTTCTTCTTCTCATGCCGTTTCTTTCTTCTTCAATTGGTTACTTTATGACGAAAGGAGGCGGGATGATAAGGTTTTAAATACAGAAGTTCTATGTGTCATTACATTGTTCTAAAATTGTATAAGGATCTTAGAGCCACATGTCCTTTTCTTTCGGGGGGGGGGGGGGGGGGTAGTGATGTGGTGTTTCGTTCCAGTTTTCATGGTTGCCAGATTCGGTTTCATGTGAAGTGTTTTCACCCGCAGGGGGCGCTACCCTGTGTATATATGTGCAGCATTGTCCTTAATAAATAAGTTCCTGCTTGGCTACCGGCTCCTGCGTACCTCGTGTCGGCCGGCGCTTCAGTGCCGTACCCTGTGTTCTCCATGAGGCGGATGCTACAGAAATGTTGTAAGCATGCTCGACTTGTGATCGAAGACACAATGCCAATATCCATTTTTTAAGTCAAGTTTTGAGAACACTTTGGCTTGTGCAAGTTCTGGTAGTTCTGTTGTATGTACTGGCAATGGGTGCTGTTCTTTATTGAGCGCTTTATTCAGTGTCTTTGGGTCGATGCAAATTCGCAGCTCACCTTATTTTTTCTGTGCTACAACCATGCAGCTGACCCACTGTGTTGGCTCATCAACTCTGGTGATGATCTGTTGCTGTTCAAGCTCTTGCAGCATTTACTGTATATTTGGTTTGATGCTCACTGGTACCCGACATGTTGCTGATACTCCAGGTGCTACTGTTTCGTCGACGTTCAGATGCACAGTTTCTGGAAAGCTACCTGGTTCATCTTTGAATACTTCAGGGTACTTGTCAGTGATAGCTTACTTCAGCGCTGTCCAGCCCTGCCCAATTGTGGACACCAGGTCGTAATTCACTGTTATAAGGCCCATCTTTTCTGAAGTGTCTCTTCCTAACAGAGGTGTTAAGTGTTCCTCTACCACGACAAACTCGACGGAATACTTCTTTTGAGTCTTCAGGTTTCTAAGGAGAAGCCGACACCTGCCTTGTGGCGTGATAGTCGTTCCATTGTATATCTTCAATTGTGTAGGGGCTTCTTCTAGATCTTTGTCATGGACATATCTTTCAGGGATAACATTTGCAGAGGCTCCACTGTCGACTTAGAACCTGATGTGTTCCTTTCTGTCTCTTGTCTCCAGTGTCACAAAAATTCCATTTTTTTTTTCTCGCAACGCCAAGATGTCTTCGGAGCTGGAGTCATTTTCATAAAAAGCTCGCATACTACCTTTGGTCTTGCATTGTTTCGCGAAGTGGTTTCGTCTGCCGGTTGGTGCACTCTTTTCCCCATGCCAAATACAAACTTTTCTTGAAAATGTGCACTGTTCCACAGTATCAGCATTTCTCATAGGTGCGATGGGAGTCTTTATCACACTCCTCTGCTTCACGGCGTGCAGAGGGTCGGCGTCTTGGCTCAGAGCGCCTGTTTCTTGTCTGAACCCCTTTAGCTGCTTTGTTGAACTTTCGTGGACAGTGCAAACTTTTGTGAGTTTTAAGAGTCAGGTCTTCGAGCTCTAGTAACTTTATTCACACATCCTCTTTGTGGATTCCGAAGATTACCTGATCGCGAATCATCTTGTCACGTTGTCCCGTGAAATTACAGTCCTTTGCTCGCGTTTTAGTCTGTGAGAAGGGAGTCGAAGGACTCATTTTTCTCCTGTTCTCTGCATCGCAGCAAGTACCTTGAGTACTCTTCAGTTCTTTTCGGGGCAAAGTAGTTGTCCAGCTTCTCCAGTACAGCACTTGTGAGGGTCTGGGTGCTGCTTCGTCGAAGTCAAGCATGTTGTAGACATCTATTACCGTGGGTCCTGCGATCATTAGAAGCATTGCGACCTTTTGCTCATCAGACTTGTTTTTTTTACCTGTTGCAGTCAGGTACCAGTCGAAACGCTGCCTGAACTACTTCCAGTTCACGCATAGATCTCCCGTGAGGCACATATTTCCCGGTGGATCAATCGCCATGTTAGTTGCCATTGTTGCGGTCGGCTGCTTTGTAACGGTAGACTCACAGTTGAGGGTCAAGTCTTGGCTCATGCTTGGTCATCGCTCGCGGTCTCACTTGCTTCTGTGTTGGTCACCCCTTCTGACACCATGTTGAATTATCATTTCGATAGGGGAACAAACTGGAGATGAGGCTAGACGCACGTTACTCAAAGCCATATTTATTGGCTGTCTAGAAACGTCCGGTAATGATGATAGCTGTGTAGTAAATCTGTTGAGATGTGGCTGTTGACGATGGTCTCACTCTTGTAACATATCCAACCTTGAGTAATATATGAAATAACTGAAAAAAAGTTCTGCAACCTAGGCTCGCTTCATAAACTTGAAAAGCATCACACTGCTAAAAAGTAAGAAACACTGTGATTGTTCAAGAATTGTAGTTAAATATAGCAGCAAGCCTTTGCTTAAGATAAGTAATATGATTTCGCAGATTGCTGCTTTAATTTTGTGTAAGTCTGCGTTCTGCAAGCGTCTCATTTTTTTTGGTATCCCGGGTGCTGCTTGAAAGATCATGTTATTAACTCATCATTTTTTTTCCCTCCCTGAAGCTCATGTAAGTATCGAAATTTCTACTTTTGAGACTGTTTTAGAGCACTTCAGCACAATTTTTGTAATTTTTATGTTTGGAGCAACTTAGACAGAAAAAAAGAATTGCATTAAGGCTGTGTCACCCTTGCAGGTCTTCAGTGGGTGGGAACTCGTCTAATTAAATATCAGTGGTGGTCTACATTAAGATCTTCTGGAGAGATGTGAAATAATAACTTTAACATTTCTGACCTAATGCAACCTGGATGTGGAGCTGAGGGTGGTAGTAATTTTATGACATGTGGAGGTTCTTTCACATTTACTTCTAAATCATGTTCATATGAAGGTTTAACCTTTATTTGCCCTTATGATTTAAATCACTTTTTTAAGCCTTCACTCATGTGCATAGTTTGTTCCAAAGCTTCTTTTTTCTCTTCTACTTCTTTCATCACCTGCGGCTCTTACACGGGATTCGCACCCTCCTTTTAAAAGTTGCCTGCTTGGAAAACCTCTCGTAATGTCTTAATCTGCTTTTTGCTTCATATCTTTTACATTTGATGCGTCTCACCAGTCCACCGATAACCGTAACACCCTTTTACAACACTGGTGTGTACCACGTGCACAAAGCTTCACCGTACAGGAACACAACACTCTGCACAAAGCACCACACTTCACTGCTATCATTGCACGCCTAGTAATATACTGCAAAATGCCAAAGCATCTTAAACACATCGTTCCAAAATTCAGGCATTCATTGTACAGAACACCCTAGTCAATACATAAGAACTTTCACCAGAACTTTCCACTTCATAATCATTCCTTGTACTAGCAAGGCTTTTTGCAATGTGAAGCATTTGACGTCATAGCTGCACCTTGCAAGGTTTTTCGCATCATGCAGCTATGAAGCACTTCAAGTCCCCATGCAATGTGGGCCAAAATACCTTTCTGGTTACTTCTCTAAGTGGGTGGTATTTTCCTATAAGCGATAGAGAAAGCTGTGTATGCCTGGCATAACAGCAATTATGCAATACTTGTCCTATGGCTAGGTTATGAATAGCTGTGGTCTCTCTTGCAGGATGAGCGATACACGTGCCACCCTGACCAGTACCTGCCACGACACAGCGAGCCAGCAGTGTGTGCCATTGAGGACAGCGATGAGGAGGCCTGACTGTGCCAGCCATGTGACATTGCTTCAAAACTGTGCCTTGTGTGTTGTCCTTACAATAAAAAAATACATCCAATCATGTGCACCTCAGTCGAAGTAAATGGACCATCTTGTCAGGAGTGAGCACTAGTAATTGTGGGGGTTCAATGACCAGGATATTATTATGAGAGACGCCCCACAGAAGGGCACCAGAAATTTCGACCATCTGCAGTTCTTAACGTGCACCTAAATCCAAGCATGCAAGCCTCAAGCATTTTAGCTTCCATTCAAAATGCGGCCACCGCGGCCGACATCGAACTAGCGACCGGATGGTCAGCAGCCTTAGCCACTAGACCACTATGGCGGGTCGAGTGAGCGCAGTTCTCTTCAAAACGTTAGTGTTCGTGTTTGAAATCTATTGTGTCCCATGTGCTGGAGACTCCAAGGTATACGTTTCACGAGGCCCTTCATTGGTCTTCTGGACATTTAATCACAGCCGACTCCTATGACACGAAACTCTCTTAAATGAAATTGCTGCTTAAATGAAACAACTGCCACAAATATGTTTGGTTTTCTACTTGAATATTGTATCTCTGTTTATCTCTCAGTAAATGAAACTCCTCTTAAAAGAAACGTATTTAACTGGTCCCTTCAGGTTTGGTTTAAAAGAAGTCTACTGTAATATTCCACACATTTTTTCACAAATTTCAGACTAACAGCGTGCAGCTAAATGTATTTTTAAGTGGTGCTGCATTTATGTGACAAAGTAAAACAACCCTCATGTGGCTGTGTGGAAAAGCGTCTTTTGAATGAATTGCATTGCTTGTCAGCAACCACAAAGACTACCGAAGCAAGCCATGACGTTGGCTACATGCACACTACCCATCAGTGATGGTTCTCTCAGATCAACAGAGTGGCACCCTGCTGCAACCGCTGATGTTCACCAGCGCTCGCAGCAGCGTTCCTGCATGTGGTGCCATTTATCACCTTGCGCTATTACCAGAGCACAGGGAACGAAAAGGAGCGGCTGTACGGTGGAATGCCTGCGAAACGGTCGTGGGCGCACCTAAGATCTCCACAGAACACACTGACTACAGTGTGCTGGCCCTGTTCCACTGGTGCACGTGGGCCTCTACAAACTTCGGTTTCAGGTGCGCCCCGCCAGGCTGCGCACACTGCAATGCCTGGAGTGTGGCTGTTTGGGTCATGCGACAACCACTTGCAGACGCCCTAACTGCTGCCTACGCTGCGGTAGGAGCCACCCCTCAACAGAGAGTTTCTTTGCGAAAGCTAGATGTGTAAACTGTGGTCACAACTACCCTGCAAACACTCCTGCCTGTGGTAAACGGCAAGAGGAACGCAGAGTGGCCACCATCATGGCCTCCTCTATGGTCCCATCATCAAGCTTGGCCAATTGTGTGCGCAATGGTACAGGAGGAAAGTGGCTCCCACTTTTCGGGCCATCCTGCCACTAGCACAGGTATCTGCACATATGCCCAGGCTGCCTGCAGTGGAATGCATCCTGCATCAACCCATGCACACCAGCAGGTTGGTGGCCATGAGGTGCTACGTCCGGCCTCGCTGCCAAGGCGTCTCCTGTTTCCACTGCGAGGAAGTCATCTGCAGCACCCTTGATGACACTGTGTGATGATCCACGAGATCCTATTATCGCATCGTTGCAGTTTAGGCTGAGGGCCGTAGGCGTGCTTCTCCCATTGGACAGTCCAGTGAAAGCCATCTGTCTTCAGGCAGGTTGTCTGCAAAAGACTTCCAGCCATTATGGCTAGCTGAAATAGTTCCATCCGCCGCCCATGCGTTCTGTACCTCCATGCGGCTACGCTAAGAAACCTCCTAGTCTCTTCCAACTACCATGCCCATGTTTTCCAGGCAGTTCACTTCCTTGGGGACATTGAGCTGGGCTACGGGCTGCAAAAGCTATCTGCCACTTTCATCTCTAACGAAATGAAAAACAGCGCGTAACACAGGATAGTGACAGAGATGAACTAAGCACTCACTTACAACCAAGGTTTTATTCCATACATGGGGGCATATATAGCACACGAAAATATGAAAGGAAGGAGAGGAGAAGAGTGACATAAAACTTCTATAAATGAAATATTTGTATGCGTCTGAAAAAACTTTGCTTAAGCAATCATTCACTTGACAAATACGCAAATTTCTTGCTGAGGAGTGTTATCGAAGGTGCACTGACGCACATATCACCTTTCTAGTTAATGCAGAAGGCCTCATAAATCACACGTGCTCCTTGATCACTGTATCTTCGAAGTATCTTGCATTGATCAAACACAGCATGACATCCGCAATCGGAGCTATGCTCAGCTAAGTGACTGCCAACAGAACGCCGCATTAGGTTGCGGTGTTCTCTGAGTGGGCCATTTATACAGCGGCTGCATGAGAGGGGAATTTCGTATACCACACAGAAACAACATTAAACAAACTTGTTCTCGTGTTTTTTATCACACACACAAGGCCCTCTGTCCTCTTGATTCACCTTATTGAATATACTGGAGAAATTATTGCTTGTTGAAAAAACAACCCTGATGCCGGCTTTATGTGCTACCTTTTTAAACAATGCGACACCTTATGCAAATAGGGAATGAACTCTGTTTTTGAAAGTCGGCTCTTCTCTTGAACACTAGTTGGTGCAGTTAATTCTTTCAAGTCTTATAGCTAAAACACCTTCGGCTATGGAACACAGTATTTTATCCAGGTAGCCTGCCCTGCACCCTCTGCGCACCTGGGATTCAAAGCTAGTACATAATGTGTGATACCATGACCACGTCAAGGCCGCCCCTAGACAAGATTTCTCAATCGCTCACTTGACAAGATTCGAATGCACAGAAGTCTAGGGTAGCGAAGTTTTCTTTGAGCGGGCCTAGGCATACTGCTAGCACATGTGGTCAGGTAAAAATATTTCAAGGTCAAGAAACCGGAACTTTTTAGTAATTGGGAAATCAGTGGTTAGTTGCAGTGTGCCCTTGCAAGAGCAAAACACATCAACAATTTGATCTGCACATTGCTGGGCTCCAGAGTGGTTAGACTTATACAATATCAGGAAGTTGTCAACAAATGTAAATGGTTTTACAGCGCTTGCCTGATGCAGGGATTCCATGAGAGATTTGTCAAATTTGGCTAAAAGAATATTCATTGATTTATTGGTGGGGTTTAACGTCCCAAAACCACTATTTGATTATGAGAGACGTTGTAGTGGAGGGCTCTGGAAATTTTTACCACCTGGGGTTCTTTAACGTGCACCCTAATCTGAGTACACGGGCCTACAACATTTCCGCCTCCATCGGAAATGCAGCCGCCACAGCCAGGATTTGATCCCGCGACCTGTGGGTCAGCACCTGACCACCCTGTACTAGACAAGGCACTAGACCACCGTGACGGGGCTGGCTAAAAGAATATCACTTAGCATCAGGGCAAGACACGAACCTATGCAGACACCTTCTTTTTGAATAAAAAGTTTTTCATCATGTTTTATAAATGTAAAACAAAAATAAAAGGTCAGCATTTCTTAAATGTTTTCGATGCTAATGCCATACGAGTCCTGCAACTTGGTGTTCCCATAGCGGTCTATGCATTCGCTATGGGAACTGTCCAGGGAACATCTGAAGAATGCTAATATCGGATTAAATTTTTACATTCGTTTGCCTGGCTTTCTCCAGCTGACACTCTCTGGACGTAATGAGCAGGACGTATTGCGAGTGTGTGCATATATATATATATATACATACATACATATGAAAAAGAAGGTGTCCTTGGACCCAGTGGAAAAATACCAAGCAGTGGAGGACGTGCAAAACGAACACCTATTATTTTTCCTACGTTTCAGCTGGGGACCGGCCTTTATCAGGGAAAACACGTTACAAAAATGCGCTTTTCTTAAGTAGGCATGGTACATCAAGGGCCCCTGACATGTGAACTATCACTATCATGCACTATCTACTGTGATGTGGTGAGTAATGAACAGCAGAGAATGTCAAAACAATGTCAAAGAAAGATTATGAGAATGCATGAACGGTGTTTACATCAAGTAGATCACATGAATAGCAGTTTGAAAAGTACAGTAATATCTACAAACACAACTATCAAACCCATACAGCAAATTACACGCACAAAAAAGACAAAAAAGTATAGCAGAAAACGTTCAAATGGAACAAGATGGGTGACTAAGAATTTCATGGGGCACGAACAGAATTGATGACACAAGGTCAAGAAATTCACTGTACCGAAAGGTGTAGTAAAAATCTGCGTGTACAGTGATTATGAACAGACTGTAATGAAACTAGAACTTAGTTCTGCGCCGAAAGAAATGTCAGTTTGCCTGGATCTTCATTTATACCAGATAAGATCGCGTTGAACTTGTGTATCAGAAATGACTCACGCAGTTCCCTATCATAGTGTGAAGGGAAACCTGATTCCAGTATAGTAGCTCTTAGTTTATTGAATGAGTGACCAGGAATGTTCACGTGCTTAGACAAAGGTAGATTTGGTAGGCTTGTGGCATGTGACTTATGGTTATTAAAGCGCAGTCTAAAGCGCGTTTCAGCATGTCCGATGTATTGGAGTTTGCACACAGAGCATTCAAGCATGACACAATGTTGCTTGTGTCGCAGTCAAAATCCCCTTTAATTTGTAGATGAAAGTTTGATGCTGTACTCTTAACCAAAGTGGTCGTCGTCATATGGTTACAAACTTTGCAACGGGGTTTGTTGCATGGATGACAACCAGAAAAATTGGTGGCGGTAATCCTTGATGAGGTTAGTATGCCACGTAAGTTCTTCGATCTGCGATATACCACACGTGGGGGATCAGGAAAGATTTTTTTGAGGTGATCACTCTGTATTAGTATGTTGTGATGCTTCTGAAGAATGCTGTTGATGTTTGGTGCTGATGCGGCGAGTGTTAAAACCAGGCTCGTGCTTGAGGGTGCGGCCTGCTTCTTTCGAATAAGTTCCTTACGGTCAATGTCCTCAGCCCGTTTATTAGCATCGTTAATAATTTGTGGTGGATATTTTTGCTTCTGTAGGGCCTCCCGAAGTTTGGTGCAGTTGTCTGTGAATCTGAATTGTTCGAA